AATTAGTTAATTATTTTAGCCGTAACAAATTAAACGTTTCAAAGTGTAATTCTATAATATCTTTTGGTCGGAAGCTTGATATACTAAATTTTACATAGAGACTTAATAAAGTTTAGCGTGTCTGGCAAAGGGTTGCCACGATACTAAGTGTCTGGCAACAGATAACGTGATCTCTAATATATTTATTCCAATATAATCAAGATATTTAAACTGTGTTATACGACTTAAGAGTATTCCGTGCTGCAGAATTCGTCTAGAATCCTCGATATAAAATATGTCCTAATAAAGTCAAGCGATCCAAAAAAACATTTGTATGCAGTATGGTCTAAATTTCAGACGTCTAAGGATGTCTAGCAATCGCAATGTTCACGTCTTCATCTCCTTCCGCTGCAAATTGGACATAGTTGATCTGGTTTTGTTACGTAAAATTGCTCAAATTCACATAGACTGTCCTGACCTTGGACAAATTATAATACATTTTGTCCTTGTCGTTCACTTTGATAGATCAACCCTTATGACTTTATGTACCTAGTTTAAATTACATACGAAACTAATTCTTTATAAGAGTATGTAATTAATTTAATATATTTTTAAAGACTGCGATTAGGCGGACTTTTTTTGTATTAGTGTTACTTCTATTTGTGAATTATTACACTGAAATTCTTAAATCAAATTGACTCTAACGTAACTTATATAATTTATATGTATTAACTGTATAATATATTCACCTAAATTGTTGCCTATTTGTGAACGCTATCGCGTATACGCCTATATGTGAGGCTTCTAATTAGCGAAAACTATATCACTTATATATTACGTACCAAATATTGTTAATTAACTAACAGCTGATAGTTTTCCAGTCCAAAACTGGATTTTTTTTAATAACTGGCTTTACGGCTCTGGGATCTAGCCCTTCTGAGCCTGAAGTTACAATATATTATAATTATCCTTCATAATATACTGCTTACATGTTGACGCGTCACATTGTGCAGCCCTTGGGAGATTTTGACGGCAACTTGAGCCAGCAGACAGCTGACGATTGGCGATGGTATCTTAAGGCGCCTAAGCAGACATACACCTTATTTTGAGAATCACATCACCATCAGACCACTTGTTTCACAATTTCCACTAATAGTTCACATGCGCAGACACTTCATACACAAATCGCACCACTTTTACATATCAAAGTCTACTTCAAACCATTATTTAAACAATAATACAGGAGCAGCAAACCGTCGCCGGTCAAGTTCCCGCCAAAACCTCTCCAAACTGGAGTGATAACGAACTTATGGATAATAAACGGGTAATGATGTCACTTGAGACCAGCATCCAATTTCAAACAAAGAACATTGCAGATGCATTGTCATTTCTGAGAATTACTACTTCTGAGATGGTGGATGTCTCACAGCATGTAATGATACTGGGTCTCAATAGCCTTCATACCGCAACACATCAGTGCATGCGCTGATTTTTGGTGGCAGAAAAAGGTAAGAGGGTAAATTTAACATGAATAGAGACAAAATTTATGTAATTTTTGTTTTGTTACATGTAGCAAGAAGGTCGTTATGGTTACACCAGCACCACCCATAATACAGATAAAGCATCCATCAGCATAAATACATAAACGCTGAGTATGTAGTAATTTAAGTAGACTGTAAGCATAGGATTAAGTATTGTAAAAGACAATGGACAGAATAAATTTACATCTATCTCTGTGAACACGTAGTTTTTATTTAGTTTTAAGTCTTAGTTTGTATTTAGTTTTAAAAAAAGCTCTCGGCAGCTCCCGCAACTTGACTGGCGCAGCCGGTAGGATCACCGGAAAAGCTGTGCCCCCGTTCGTGAATTTCGCGTATGCAATTTCACCCATTTTCACGCATCGGCGGACGATCCATACAGCGTGGTGATCCAGCGAACCAAAACAAATTCGTCGAGAATAAGGAGCCGTGAAGCTGATGATGGGCACTGCGGGCTGGTGAGTACGACTCTTCACCTCCTTCATATCCCTTAGTAAACTTGGAATTAGACATTTTCCATTTTGACTGTTATTTGGGTTTCAAATACCAATCTTACGTAAATTTTATAAAGTATTAAGTGCAACAAATAACTACTACTTAAATAAAAATTAAAATAATATTAATTTAATTGTAAGACGTACATAATATTAAGTCACATATTACTCAATAAAGTTATAGAATATATTATATTAAGTATTATACATTATATTAAGTTGTTATTGTGTATACATTTGTTTGTTAATTTAAAGATTACTCGACACGTCAATACATAATAGATTAGTACTTATACTCGAATTTTCCTTACAACATTTGTGGAACTGGTAGAGTTATAATAAATATTTTATTTTATTTTTTTATTTTTGTGCAGAACCAGTGAATAAATTATTAAAAATGTCGGAAATCAAACTTATCCCTAACGAATTAACTAAAATAATACCAACATTTAGCGGCGATAAGCGCCATTTAAATTTATTTTTGCGTAAATGTGAATATATAATAAGTAACTTTAAATCATCCGATGTGCAAAATGAATATATAATGCAAATCATTACTAGTCGTCTTACGGGCGAGGCTGCGTCGCTTATCAGTGAACGGGAAGATATAGAGACGTGGGCCGAATTCAAGGAATTGTTTTTAACTCACTTCGGCGACCCACGTAGCGAGGAATGTTTAGCCATAGAATTAGAAACTTTAAAGAAACACCAAAATGAAAATTATACAGATTTTTGTGGTCGTATACAATCCGTTAAATCAGTGTTATTATCGAAGGTTAATCAAATTGCTGATAAAAACTTAGGTTAGGTTGAAAACACCCAGTACACTAGAAGAAGCACTAAGTATAGTTCTAGAAGAAGTAAACTTCGATGACCAATATCAGATGCGTAGTAAAATGTTACAGTCTAGCCATACGTCTAAGCCACAGTCTAGTAGTACACTAGGGCAACAACCATCGTTTAAGTTCGCAATGCCAACACAGCCTACAGGTTTTAGACCAATGTTAGCACCAAACCAACCCCCTAAGCAGAATTTCGGAACACCACCTCAATTTAAGTTTGGCATTCCCAATAATAGACAAATGAGGATTCCGTTACCACAAAATAAGCCTCAACAGCAAATGAGTTTTCCTAAGCAATATCACCCACCTAATTTTGGATACCGACCAAACTTTGGATTTAGACCCCCGGACTATAGCCCCATGCAACCAATGTTACCACAACAGTTTGGTAATTCTCAGCGTTTTAATTATCCTAATAATAATAATGTGCATAACAAGCCGGTTTCTAATGATACTGATGTTTCTATGAGAACTGCCCCTCCAAAGCCTTTTCAACCAGGTTTCCGCCTAAACGAATTAGAAATTTGTACATCATACTATCCCTACGAATTTCCTCAAAATTACATGTATGAGGAAACATACGACAGTTATTATGGAAATGAATCCATACAAGAAAATTCTGTAATAGAGGCTGATGAAAACAATGATTCAGAGGATAATGACATGCCTGCACAGACTGAAAATTTTCAAGTAAAAGCCTCCGAAAACCACCTGAAATAACAAAATTGAATTGCGACATAAATTTAAAACTACCATACATATATATACCTAATTTCTTTTAAGTTTTTCAAGTTTTTTCTTTTTAAGTTCTTTTATAAGCCCCGATAAAGCACATCAATACTACCGTAATTATATAACAACTGAACCCTTTAAAGTTATAAGCACTCATGCATCTATCAAACACGATCAGGTAATTAAAATTCCACTATTTTCTATAATTCAAAATAATGGCGAACATAAATTTTATCTTTATAATGTCGATTCACGTTATGATGGGTTAATTGGGAATGATTTATTAAAGCAGTTGGAAGCTGTAATAGATTTAAAGAAACAAGTACTTACCACAAATTATTCTAAAATACCTATAATACACAATAGCTTAGAATATGCTGTAATACTTTCACCTCGTTCTGAAGTTAGAGCAAAATTACCTGCTAACATGTTTTATGGTGAAGGAATATTAAATTATGCCCGATTCTGTGATGGAGTGCGCATGCCTTCTGCATTGGTAAAATGTGAGAATGGCTATGCCACTACAATTATACAAAATACGTAAATGAATTTCGAAATATGAACACACAAGTAAATTATTTAAGTAACTTTGCTGTAGAAAAGTTTAAACAACTCATACTTTCGATACGTTTCAAGCGCGGTCTTATTAATCCTTTAGATTCTGTTATCAAAGCGCTTACAGGAAACTTAGACCACAATGATGCAGTAAAATACGACAATCTCATATCTCAATTAAAGACCCAGCAAACGCACACTAATAAGAAAATAACAATAATCTCGGACATGCTTGACTCTCTTATAAATAGTACTGGATCTCTACAGGAAACTATGAACATTGTAAATGAATGAATAAAACGTATAGAAAGAATTGTAAAATATATAATTACTAAAGATAATAACAGCATATACTCCACATATGTTTGAAATATGTTTAAAATGTTTGTCAATAAGTTTAGAACTAAAGGGTCCGCCATCTAACTTTTTTTTTCAACTAGTGCTTATTTCGTGAATGGCAACACTTAGCTCATGTCTAATTTGACAGATAATTAGTTTTATCCTTCCGCTGAACGAATATGGTTGTGTATACGCTTGAACAACGCTGGGAAATATTGCGACGTTACTTTGAAAATCATGGTAATGTTGCAGAATGTGTGCGAAAATTGCGTACGGATTTTGGAAGAAATGAAGCACCGTCAGCTCCGTATGTTCGTTACCATGTGAAAAAAGTGAAAGAAACTGGCATCCTCATCGATAAACCAACGCGTGAAAAGCCAAAAACAGTGCGTACACCCGAGAATATTGCTGCTGTGGCCGAAAGTGTGCGTGAAACGCCATCAACATCAGTTCACCGTCGTTCTCAACAATTGGACATTTCGGAGACATCATTGAGACGAATTTTGCGTAAAGACCTTGGTATGACGCCGTACAAAATCCAATTGGTTCAGGAGTTGAAGCCAACTGACCATCCAATGCGTTTTCGCTTCGCTAAGTGGGCCTACGATCGACTTGCAGAAGATGCGGATTTTGCCAAAAAAATCATCTTTTCAGATGAAGCTCATTTCGAACTTGGCGGGTATGTAAACAAGCAGAATTGTCGCATTTGGGGCACAGAAAACCCGCACGCATTCATCAAAAAGCCGGTACACCCAAAACGAGTCACTGTTTGGTGCGGATTTTGGTCCAGAGGCATAATTGGGCCATTTTTCTTCGAAAACGAGCAAGGTGTGGCCGTTACAGTCAATGGCGATCGTTATCGGGCCATGTTGAACGAATTTTTGTTCACAGAAATTGAAGAGGAGGATATTGGCAACATTTGGTTTCAACAAGACGGCGCAACGTGCCACACAGCCGACGCTACACTTGATGTTTTGCGCCCTGTTTTTGAAAATCGCATTATCAGCCGCAGAGCTGATGTCGTTTGGCCACCTCGGAGCTGCGATTTGACACCGTTGGACTATTATTTGTGGGGTGCCGTCAAAGATAAGTGTTACGCCGACAAGCCAGAGACAATTGACGCTTTAAAGGACAATATTCGTGAAGCCATTGGTGAAATACAGCTGCACACAATCGATAATGTACTCAAAAATTGGACCGATCGTGTAGGCTACTGCATGGCCAGCCGAGGCAGCCATTTGAATGAAATTATTTTCCATCATTAACCGGAAGGATTGTACTTTCAAATAAAAAAAGAAATTTGAAAAAATATTTAGTAGTTTTTTTTAATAGCATTTTAAAAAAAAAGTTATTTGGCGGACCCATTATATACTTAATTTTAAGCGAAATAGAAACGAAATTAGCATTTACTACACTTCACGTTCTACATCAACCCATTGTTAATTCCACCGAATTACTAGTAATATTAGAATCTATATCTCAAACAAACAGTTTATTGTATCCTATTACTGAAAACAATTTAGTTAATTTAGAAAGATCTATGTCTGTTAAGGCCTATTTTTATTTATTTTATTTATTTAATAAGGCTTTCCAACTAAATACATATAGAAACAATTATTATGAGGTGCACTTAAAAAAAAATTGTATATATGCATTTAAATTAAAGGTAAACACAACATATAATAAAAGACTTCCTTTAAGGAGAACAGTAACCTATAAAACTATCACTACAATAAAATAACAAAATTAGAACAAACAAAAAAAAAACCTAATTTATATAATGTATAAATGGTAAAAAGAGAGGAAGTAAAAAAACTTTTAAAATGAAAAAATTATTTGGCTGTGTAATGTGTTAGTACCTTCCTCTTTAAAACATTTAAGCTATCAAAATGGATATTGAATTGAATGCATTCAACAAAGATGATAAAGGTGTGTTTCTGCCATATTCATTACGACTTTTTTTAATATGAAACGGTTTGTAGTTATGTAGACGTGCACTAATTCTTGGAACAGTGATACCGATATCAAGTAAGAGAGACCGACAGTCAATTTTAAAACTTAAGAGCTTGTGCAGGAAAGTTATACTTAATACATCCTTACGCCTTTCTAAAGGTATCATATGGTAATGCTCAAGTCTTTTCTTATAGCTATTAAAAGTGTGATAAGTCCCTTCGATGTAACTGAGTCTAGCTAACATTCTTTTTTGTACCTTTTCTATACGTTGTATATTGTTTTGATAACTAGGATACCAAACAAAGGAACAGTAGTCTATATTGCTACAGATCAACGCGAAATAGAGGGCCTTTAAAGCTGGTATGGACTTAAATTCTGTAGTGTTACGTGAGATGAATGCTATTAATCTATTACACTTATTTATTGTGATATCAATATGACCTGTTCAAAGTTCAAAAACTTTATTAAACTAAGTTTGTATAAAAAGGGTTATTATAATGTTAAGGAATTTATGGATGATAATAACCCCTGAAAATGAGGTGATCGCTACCAAGCTATTTCTAATTTGTTGTGTTGTTAATTTGTGTAACATCATGATTGTAAGCTGTTATTTTAAAAAAAAAAAGTCCCGCTGGGTTTCTTGCTGGTTCTTCCCAGGACAGAGGTTTTTTCCGAACCAGTGGTAATCAAACAAAAGAGTGACTTTCAATAAGTATTATTTATAATCTATATTGAATAAAAAAGTTTCTGTTTCTGTTTCTGTTCCGTGTGAATCTCATTTCGGAATCAATGTTTAGGCCTAAATCTTTAACATATTTTACTTGATTAAGACGAGTATCTGCAATATAGTAATTAGTCTCGAATTTTTTATATTTCCTTGAAAATTTTATGTGGTGACATTTTTTTACATTGAGTTCCATCTTATTACATTCACACCATTTACAAAGATCGTTAATATCCCTCTGTAATAGTAACTGGTCCTCTGTGCACTTAACGGTTCTAAAAAATTTCAGATCATCGGCGTATAAAACAAACTGACTGTTATTTAATACATGTTTTATGTCATCTATAAACAAACAAAATAAAATTGGACCCAGGACTGAACCCTGAGGAACTCCAGAAGTAGCTTGAAATATGTGAGATACAAAACCGTTTACAACAACCCTCATTACTCTATTTTCTAAATAGGACTCAAACCATCTCAAAAGACATCCATCAATAAAAAAAAAGTTTTTAAGTTTAGCCAGTAATATTTTATGGTCCACTTTGTCAAAGGCCTTGCTAAAGTCGGTGTAAACGGCATCAACCTCATTGCCATTACTTAGTTCGGTTAAAACCTTTTCAACAAAGAACATTAAATTGGTTGTTGTGGATCGCTTCGCAAAGAAACCATGTTGATAGTCACTCAGAAGTTGTTTTACGTGCCACTTTAAATGGTTACTAACAAGGGATTCAAATATTTTTGACAAAGTGGAAAGTATGCTGATAGGTCGATAATTACAGATAACATTGATACTTCCGGATTTATGGATTGGTAAAACGATAGCCTCTTTCCATACGTTTGGAAAAATGCCTTCCGAGATAGATCGGTTATAAATTAAATGTAGTGGTGTCGATAATAATTTAGCACTTTTTTTTATGAATATTGGAGGTAATCCATCAAAACCGGCTCCTTTATTGGTATTAAGCCCAGCAAGTTTAACTTCAATATCCTTTTTAGGTATTTGTATATAATTCAGATTAAGAGAATTTGTCACACTGTCGTTAACTCTCGAGTAAGCCTTATCTTGGACTTTGGAGGGTTTGTTATAAACAGATTCAAAGTGCTCAGCAAATAAGTTAGCAATACCACTACCGTCATTAGCACCTTTGTTCCCCAGTTCCATTTCCTTAGGGATTGAGTCATTATTATTACGTTTATTCTTTATGTAAGACCAAAAATGTTTTGGATTATTTAAAATATTTCTTTGCACATTATTTATGTATTTGCTGTAACTTTTATTAATTAGCGTGTTTGCTCTTTTTTTTAACAACTCATTCATATACGTCACGATTGTTTTGATATTTTTTCATTTTTTTGCGGCTAATTTCCTTTTCCTTTAAAAGTTTTATAAGTCTCTGTGAGTACCATACAGGATATTTATTTTTAACAGATGGTTTTAGGGGTACATATTTCTCGATATTTTTTCGAATTATGGTATAGAATTTTTCTAAGCATTCATTAATTGAGCGGCAGCTATTTAACTCACTATCCCATTTTACTTCATATAGAGACCTATTTATACCTTCATAATCTGCTTTATAAAACTTATACACATTGAAATTATTGTATCGAAGTTTATCTATTTTTTTATAATATATGTCAATTTCTAACGGCGGGTGAAAGTTATCAATCTTCGATAAAGTATCTACAGCTTTACTGACCGAGATAGGATATTGAACGTTAGATAAAACCAAATCAAGTATTTTAGAGTCATTATTTTGTACCCGATTATACTGTTTAAAACCGTTACATGAAGTAAAATCTATAAATATCTGATTTATTTTTGTGTTAGATTTAATTATTGGATTGCTATGATCTGAGGTCCAATCAATATGACCCAAATTAAAATCACCCACTAGAAGGATATGATCAAGTTTTTGTACAAATATACTTTTAGTGCTGATGAAGTGGTTTAGATCATCACTTGAGACTGGTGGGGGTAAATAAACAGCACAGATATGAAGAGAGTAATTTGGCGTTATGTCTAAAGTAACCCATAAATCTTCACAAGAACTTTCTAAGAATGTATTCCTTCTAGCCTTTATATTTCTCTTTACTGCTATTAAAACGCCACCACCTTCCTTTCCAGTATAGAAGGTATGTCCTGCCTGTCGATCTCTCCTGAATACCTGATACCTACTGTCAAATAGTTCCGTGCTAGCCACAGAATCGTTGAGCCATGTTTCAGTGAAAATTATTATATGAAAATTTCTTGACAGTACATTTTTATATATACTTTGCAGCTTAGTCCTAACACCTCTAACATTCTGATAGTAAATGTTTAAATCAGAGTGTGTGAATGATTTAAATTTAAATTTAATACAGCATTAGATAATAAATTTAGAAAAATAAATAAAAATTAACTGAGATTTTCCAGTGCTTCCAATCTTGTTATTACCCGTGCTGGTGATGTCTCATTTTTGCGCACAAAAATTTTCCCATTACGCACCCAAACAAATTTGTATTCTTTCTCTTTTGCTCTCAATCTGGTAGCTGCGTGTAACGCCTTGTTGGATGGAGTCAGATGTTCGTTAATGAATACTGGTGATTCAATGTCTCCATAACCCAGGATTTTCGTGTTTAATTTATTTTTTGGGTTCATTTTATTGTATGTAAGTACAGCGCCTAAGAAGTTGTCTCGCTTTATTTTACTTGTTAATTTACATACAACAGTCCTTGGCAGCTTGGATGAGGCATTAAGCTTTTGTACTCGGTTGCAGGATAAAATATCAGTTTCCAAAATGGGAAATGAAATAACTTTTCCGATATTAACAATTGTGTTAACCAGATTTTCTTGTCTGTGCTCAGGTAAGCAGTGGATTTCGACATTTGACTGACGGGCAGACTGTTCCATTTGTGATATCCTTTCCTCTAAATCCCTGACCTTGCCAGTTAACATTACATTAGTTGTAGAAAAGATCTTGGTATCATCAGATAGGACTTTAACTTTGGTACTTATAGCGTCATATTGTGAATTAATAAATTTAATCGTTTCTTCAAATGCATGAATTTCTTTTTTGATATTAGCGAACTCCTCATTTAATGTATCTCGAATCACTGAACGCAATTCCCTACGAATAATTTCTGCTAGTTCAGCACGAGATACACAGTCTTGGTGTTCAGTAGTGGGTTCGCTCTCTTTTTGACGCCTTATAGTATATATTTTGAGAGTCGTTTAAAAATTCGCTGCTGGTCGCCAATTTAATAGGAGTATCATCACTATTTCCTTCCTTACGTATTATTGACAAGTGTTTAATGGAGCAGTCAGGACATTTCCAATTTTTTTGCTTTTTGAAGTTATCAACATTCAAATTAACACACAGGTAATGATATCTTTTGCCGCACGAAGATTGAGTGCAAGTAATTCTTTCTGAAGGTTTGATTGCTTTTTTACAACCGCTGCAAGGTGAGTTCATATTTGAAATAATAAACTTGTCAGAAATTATTCACAAAAAGTGTTGGGTGTTTGTCTGGATTCGATCTTCCGACTCTTGAATGCGCTTCACGTTTAAACAGAAAGTGGTCGCTTATACCACTGCGCTACTAAGC